GGGGGGGGGTGGGGATCAGACTCTTTCAGCAACTAGTTGCAGGGTAGGGAAATGGATGCTATTGATATCACTTGTATGTGATCAGATATTCTGGGTAGGATTGGTTGTTTTCAAAAACCACAAACAAACTGGGTTTGGCACTATCATTTACACACGAGTCATACAGATCACCATGAGGCTTGGCAGGATCTTTTGGGGGAGGCCTGGTGAAGGACTTATCTCCCTCGACGTAAGAACCCACAAGAACTCGAGCTACAAACATGTAGCAGTAACTACCACTGGCTTGCTTGGTGTAGCGATGAGAGTAGCTGGCATCTCTTGCAAAGTAGCTTCCTTTGCCATACTTGGTACCATGCTTGCCACACATGCGCCAATCAAATCCCTGCTGACATATTGCATCCACAACATCAGGGGTTGTTCCATGGAACAGCAGAGGCATTTCTTTGGGAGGGACGTCATTTGACTTTTTTGCCATTCTCCCTCTTTTTCTATGAGAAACATTATACCATAACATATTTAGCATTCCTTTTTTAAATACTCTGTCACTTGAAAGTGGAAGATTAGCTTTGGATAACATTCTTCATCATATTTCGAGCCAGAAGTAAAATTATATCACTTTCTTCTCCAAAGAAAGCTGCGTAATATAATAGACCTCTTCGGCTTGGGGTAATGTTTTCCCATTTCAGACCACATGTCATTCCCTTGAGAATAAGATTCTTTGTTTGAGCTGTATCCATATTCATATGTCTTCTCATTTGCAACCAAGCGCAAACCTTAAACAAAGAAATGATACTCTAGGGAATGACATGTGGTCTGAAATGGGAAAACATTATGTCAGAGCCGAAGAGGTCTATTGAAGGGGTATTCACTTACTGAGTAAACGCAGTCCACAGGTCTGGATTTTGAATCCTCTCAATCTTCTTAATCGTTTTCTTTGAAACCAATGTCTCCTGGAACTTCTTCTCAACATCTTTATATTCTTGTGACGTGACAGACAAAGGAAATCTTTTAAAGTCATCATTGTCTGGCATCTCATCCCAGAGAGGTGGAAAAAGACTAGTGACTTCCGAGACACTTGATTCACGTGCCTTGGAAGCTTTCAGTGCTTCTTTTCTCCTAAAAAATGCAAGCAAATGAATATGCTGAATATATTTAACATGATGGCGAATAGGGGAGACAACACAGAGACWCAYRGTGAATAAACACCTTGAAGTATGCCGGAATGCAGCTCAATTTGGAGGACATAACAATAGGTTTTCGATTATCATGAGATTAAAAGTCGTTTCTTTTGTCCTTCTGAGGTGCTTCGTTGGACATCACATGCAAGGGATCTATRTGGAGAATATGGAGATGGAGTAACTTTTACCTAATATGTCTAATGAATTGTTAAATCTCACCCTCTGGCCCCCCTCCCCCAAATACTCAGCCTTAACCCCTCCCCCTGCCACTTCTCAAAATGCTTGGCAGCCATTAAAAAAGAGCCGTACCACAATTTTCCTTACAAGATATTAGTATTGTACTTTACCTTTGCTCAATCTCTTTCATTGTCTCCTTGGCAACGAACTCAGGCCTCCTTCGAATGGCCCTTTCTGTTTGGAACTTGTCATTCTTTTGGAGCATTCTCTTGTAGTAAAGTGTGTAGGTATGATGACCAGCACTGAATGGGTGGCTATCCTTCYCTGCATATCAGTTATGTGATCATTATCATATTAACAAATTTTGATGTGAGTAAAAGAAACTATGAGTGAGTAAGAATATGCAGTGCGTAGGCACTATGAGGTGAGCTGAGGCAGTTACCTGTGTGTCAGTAAAATTTCAGATCAGTAATCAGAAATGCCTAGATTCTCTTCTTTTTCATTAAATATTATTATTTWATTTAATTTAAATATGTCACAAATATATAAAGTATATATAGGTTTTATAGAATAGAAAATTGTGATATCTATATAATATTATTATACAGAACTTGCAATTGTCAATGCTTCATACCTTGCAGAAAATCTTTTTCTAGAGACTTGCTACATGTTGTATTTGGTTCACATCCATCATCTGGAGAATCATAACTTTGCCATTYGTTTTTCTCATCTTGCCAGTACCACAACCATCGTGTACTGAAAATATGTCCAGGGGGTGCGTCTGCAGAAGACTCTGTGGACAACCGCCTCAGTCCAAGTGGTGGACCAGCTGAATAAAAGAAAAAGAAAGAAACCAAATGTAGTAGACTCAAAATTATGATACATCAATTAAGGCTGTAGAACATGCACAGTTTTTAGATGGGGCAGCACGATATGGTTGAGTGTGATCATAGCGTCAGTCTTGCAATCTGGTGGTGCCAGGTTTGAGTTCTGCTGTGGCCACTAGCTTAGACCATATTTGTCCTGATTTCTGATTAGTTCAAATTCAGGGTGAATTCAGTGTGTTTTTCACAGGGATATGCCATATAATTCCTCCCTTTTTTTTTGTGCTTCACATTTCACTCTTTTTCTCTTGCAATTTTTTTATGGGGGAAAAACACTTTAAAATTGATGTTATTTATACTACCATGTCCTCGTTCTGCAACTGCAATCATCTTGTCAAAGTCTGTCTTGAATGACTTTCCTTGATCATAAATTATGATCTCATTAGTGCTTGGATCACTGTATCCCCGTTCCAACATGATGTTCCAGTCCTCTGACAAATCCTTCCAACCAGAGCCATCCTGTAACTGCCATTGATAAGGAAGATCTCTATGTAGGTTCATGCACTTGTCACCATAGTTACACTGTCCTCGCAGAAAGAAGCCACAAATTTCAGTGCTTTTTTGGGACTTGTAGTTTTCGCTGGCTGCAGGATTTCTTGGAGCAACTGGGGCCATAACATTGTTCCCACTGATTGCTCCAGCTGGGAGGGAAGAATCTAACCCAGTACCGGTAGTTCTCTGCCTTTCTCTCCCTCGTAGAATAGAAAGGAGTTGATCGCGATTGAGACTACCCAGACTGAATTTCGCAATCACATCATGATTGTGCTGGTCCTTCAAAAGGTCATGGTCTCTCTTGCAGCTATCACCAAATTTACATGTCCCATCAACAAAGTGTTGACAGACATGAAGAAAGGCACACTTCTCCTTCTCACGACAACCGCCTTGGTTGTTGTAGAACATGCAGATTTGTGGAATATCATGGGTAGATGCCCCTCGCTCTATCTGTGTGTCGGCTAAAACTCTTTTAAGAAGCTGAGACCATGTGGCATCATCGATATTTTCCAGACCAAAAGCAGACAACATTGCCATGGTGTGGCCATCTTTGATATCATGGGAGCAACGACATTTTTCCTTATATGAACACTTTCCTCTGATGAAATAAGGGCATAGATGGAGCTCAAGGCAAGATTCTCCATCAGCACAGCCAGTTTTCCCAGACGCATTGAGGCAAAACTTCAAAGGCATGACAGCTTCGACATTAACTCCATCTTGAATCTTGAAAATATTTGGAAAAGAACTATTTACAAAGTTCTTAGCTCCAATCGATTTAACTACGGTTATATTCTTTTTGCTTAAGCTGGATACAGCACTTTCTAGATTCGTTACTCCGCCATTACGGCAAATAACGCTAAAGAGCTCCATAGCCGCTTCCTTCTCCTTGTCACTAACACGCGAAGACATATTCTTTCTTGATCGAGTTATCAGTTTTCTTCACGACTTCTTCAACTATGGAGTCCAGAACCCAAATAAAAAGGTAAGAGATCGTTCCGAGTAATCGCATTCCTAGAAATGGGGACTTTTATATGGAAGGTGAATGTTTATTCTCTGAAACCAAGTTTCGAGAAATTCCCTATATTCTACTTTTCCGGGAATAATTATCCCCTTCCTTCTTCCGGTAGAACCCAGACTTCCTCTCTACTTACTTTAGTTCCGGTCGGTATACCACGGATGGGAACGAAAGGAAAGCGAAAGAAATAAAACGAAAAAATAAATAAATGAATCAATGGAATGAATGAATGAATAAATAGGAAAGCAAAATCGCATATTGTAAGTGTGAATGAATAATTACTAGAACTATTGTTATTAACGTTGTTTAAATTTGTCATTGCTATTCCTACTTTAAATTTATTTTTACTGTCTTTTTGAAATTTGGGGATAAAAATTCTTTTACAGCTTTAAAACAATAGGAAAACATATACGTAAACAATGCTTATGAGGAAGGCATAGAGATTGTTATTGAAAATTCCTTCATTTCAAACATCTGAAAAATAACATTTTTTGGGGGTGTAGTAGATAGCATGGTTTAGTACATTTTTCACAGCTCATACTAGCCTGTTACACTACACAGACTAAGCTACCCYAAGAGGTAGAAAGAATAAACTGTACTCCCTCTACAGATATTTCCTAAGTAATATATACAGTATGAGTATGACGTATGACTTATCAAACGTCTAGGTTAGTTCCTTTGTGTTTCACTAAAATTTTCAAAATTAAAGTGAATTTGGCCAAGAAAATCCAACTTAAAGTTTATGCAAATGAACACAGTTTTGTATCAGATTTACAACACTCTTCACGGTCGTGATTTCTGTTGTGTTTTCCTCATGAATTATTAATGAGTTTGATAAGTAATATATACAATATGAGTGGCCAAGTTGTATCAGATATGCAACCACGAGTCAAAGGCGAGTGATTGTATATCTGATACAACACGGCCACTCATATTGCATATTACTTATGAAATGTCTAGGTGTATACATTCATGTTCTACTATAATTTTTAAGATAAAATTGAATTTGGCTAAGAAAATTGGAGTTAAAGTTTATGCAAATCAGTACGATTTTGTATCAGATATACAACCTCTTCCACGGACAATGATTTCTATTGTGTTTTCCTCATTAATTATTCATGAGTTCTATAACACTAGTTGGTTTATCATGCCTCAGTGTGGTTTGAATAGAAGCTAGACCAGGTTCTGTATTGACATAATTAGATATTATACCAATGTGTCATTTACTACCACTACCAGAATCCCTTGCACACTTTCTTTTGTTCAGTTAATTAGCACCAATTGTCTTACTATTCTCATGAGGAAATACAAATTTGCATAAGAAACAAGATTTGCAAAGCATTTTGGTAGTGTAGTAAAATGACGCCATCATGCCGATGATCTACTTTCATAATGATGTGACCCAGAGAACAAGTCAAGTTCTTTATTAAAAAAACTTATTGCTTATCAACACCCTAAGTACAGCAGTGTCGCATCTCAACGAGGTCGAACTGAAAGCATGTGAAGGCGCCTGTGGCAGCCTCTATACAGTCCATGCATGACCCCAGAGCACAGCTCTAAACAGTTTGAATTAGTTAGGGTTGATTTGAGAGGAGGGAGGAAAAACCGGTGGACCGGAAAAACCCTCGGAGTCATAAAGAGGACCAACCAACTCAGCTCACATGGGACAACTGGGATTCAAAACCCAGATCTCAGAGGTGAGAGGTGAGCATTTTACCACCACGCCATCCTGACTCCCCTCTGTATTTTTGGCTTTTATTCATCAAATTTTAAATGGTCTGAGTTAGTCATTTTTGCGAGCAATGGAAGCCAAACACCCTGATGTTTAGAGCCGAGTTGATTATAATTAATTTCAAAAATGGATTTATTACCTATTATTCACCTGGGTCACATCTCTAACACCACATCCATGACAATAAAAACCTTTATATTTAGGTAGACTCATTCAGAATGGCTTGAATGCAGGGCCAAAAGGAAATATGCCACAATCCATTTGTTAAGCAAAAACAGTCTCTTTGACAATTATTGTTGCCTCCTTCAGTAATGTTCTAAGGATTTTCATGCAATGCTTCTCTCCCCATGAATATCTGCCGAGTGAATTATTCCTTTTGAACTTTTGCATAGGAAGGTTAACCCAAGTATCAGCCCTGATACTGAGGTCGTCGGAGGGTAAGTGAGTGAGGCTACCTACATAATATTCTATGTACTGTTTAATAAACGAGCAGGAGTGTTTTATCGGGTATAAAACACGAGGCGTAGCCGAGTGGTTTTAGACCCGATAAAACACGATCTGCGAGTTTATTGAACGGCTTAGAAAACTCATGATGTATGTTCTCATATTGTACTGAATTCTTTACGAAATGAACCAAGTTTGATAGAGAAAATCCAAGTTAAAGTTTATGCAAATGAAGACGAATCTATATCCGATATAAAATCACCTTCATGGTCATGATTTCTATTGTGTTTTCTTCATGAATTATTAATGAGTTTTCTAAGTAAATTTAAACTCATAAGCTATTTTACAAACAAGGGATGAAAAAACAACTTAAAAATATAATACAGAAATGTTACAATAATGCTACATTAAACATCAGTTTCAATCGCTATTCTTTGTCTGTACTATCTGGAGTTAGGAGTAGCTGCCTTGTCTTTAGCTTGAGGGATTTTATTTGTTCCTTTTGTAAACAGATACATTGGACGTCTGAACCCTAAAATAATGAAAAAGTTAGTACAATGTAATGGACACATCAAAATATTACTGTTATTGCTTTCTGATTGGTCAAGGAACATGTATTTGTGAGCACGTGCTATGCATCATACTTCTCTTAACACTTCTCTCATGATTGGCCAATCCAATTGTATGCTTTATAAAACTGCACACTCAGTGCAAAAACATTTTCTATTTATTCAGTGATTTGAAGTTGGACTTGATGTGTTCATAAATTTGTTCAATTCAAGTCCAACCATCAGACACCAGTAAGATGGCATTACCTGCACAAAAAATGTGGCATTTATCCACAGTTTAAATCTCAAATAACAGTGCTAAAGTGGGTGGAAAATAGGGATAGAAACATGCCACTCTCAGCCCTCAAAACGTCTATGATTCTGTACACAAACAGGAAACTCTTAGTCATTCCTTTCTTCTTGTGTTAGCTTCCTTTCATAATTTTCTTTACACAAATTACAAAAAGGTTGTCGAAACGTGAAGAAAGAATGCAAACTAAAAGGTTGATGTTCGTTGGTGGAGTCATGTGTGTTTGGAAGTGTAACAATGGCATATTTTTCTGGCGTGAAAACCCAGTTTGGTAACATCTGTAGTATCTGGATAATAATTGTTCTTGTACTTTTATAGTTAAGTAGAAGGTCATCACCTACCTTGAGCACCATGCTGTGGTTCCTCTAAGACTTCGTATGCAACAAATCCAACCTCATCTGACAAAAGGTAGTCCACAAACTGCTCTGGTCGAAAACAGATACTGTCATAATTAGCTCTGATCTTTGTCTGTTTAAACAATAAAACAAAGAAAACAATGTTAAGTTTTATTGTAAAACAGGGATTTCAAATAAAAGCGGGTCAGTCACAGGTAAAGATGACCAGCAAGATTACATGTAGTTTTATCTTATTAAAAAAACTCATTTCTGGCTGAGCATTACTGGTCAAAATGACTGGCATAGTAAAGATTTGACTGGACAAGTTCGGATTCTGGCTGGACATTGCCAGCCATTATTTCACACACTATTATTTCAAATATTTGTAACCAAGTGACCATTTCATAAAGGCTTGTATAAACACTATAAAACGCAAGTGCCTTATGGGATATTCCGTGGTATAAAGCTCAAAAAGGTAAAAGTAAAAGGTAAAGGTAATTTATTTTACTTCTATAACGCAGGGAGTGGTTGCCCAATTCTCCCGAGCCAAGGGCTCATGTTAAATGCGCTCGAAGGTGCGCCCTCTACCCCCTCTTACTATCAGTGCTCCTTTTTACGGGTATTTAAAGCTAATTAAAGCTAAACAGAACAGAGAGAAGTTGAAACAGCCGTGGAGTTCCTGAGGATCAAACTATGGACCTCTAGCTCTGAAGGCCGCGCTCTAACCAACTGAGCTACGCCTGCTCCTAGCACCATTGTATAACAAGTGCCTTATGAGATATTCAAGGGTATAAAGCTCAAGACCATTGTATAACTAGTATAAACAATATGTTTAACCTACTGTAAGTTTCTTTCTTTTACTATAAGAAGCAAAAGGTTGTGGTTCTAATATCAGTCTTCCGCCAGGACGTAGATTCCTGTATATCTTCTTGAACATCAGCTTAATGCCTTGGTCCCCCCAGTTCAAATGTACCCACTTGGTAACACTTAGACACAGGATAGTATCAAACATGGGCCTCTGGTTGGAAAGACCTTTCTCATTTAAAGGTACATAGTTTTCCTGTACAAGTAAAATAAATAAATGAATGAATAAATAAATAAATGGATAAATAAATAAGTAAATAAATAAATAAATACAAGCAAGCAAGCAAGAAAACAAACAAACAAATTTCAGGTGTTAAATCCTTACCTGTTTGAAAATGACATTCTTTGGGAATTCAAGCTTTTCTTGTCTTTTGTCATTGGTGAGCAGTACAGGAGCAGCAATAGGACCATTGGTTACAGCAAAAGAAAGTGGAAACTCTTTTCCACTTGAAGACTTACTAGACAGATTCTGGTAAGCAAAGACTTGTGCATTTGTCTTAGCCATCTTTATTAGTGAATTGTCTATATCAGATCCAATGATGATCCGTGGTTCAAACTGCCGTGCAACTTCAAAAGTAATATTGCCAACATTACAGCCAATGTCCAACACATCTTTATTGTAGAACCATTCTTTCCGGAAACATTTTGTTCTTGGATCTACTGATGATTGAGGATTTCTATAGTTGTAGTATCGATTATAGTTTCCATAGATGAATAGCTTTGGACTCTTTTTAAAATCTTTTTTCTTTAATATAAGATTTTGTTTTTCTTTTCTCTGGATTGGTGGCGTTGGAGTTCTTTGATCATTTTCCTTGATTTTGGAATCTTGACCAGACATTGCGGCCGTATTTTCTCCAATTTTCTGTTGATCTTTTGTATCTACGTCACTTATTTTATCTTGCAAATTGTCTATCCATTTTTTCGCTTTTTTTCTTGGAGGTTCCTCATCATCTGCTGCTTCATCTTTCTTACAATTTTGATCAACTTCGGCTTTTTGAACTTCAGAATTTACAAAAACGTCTGATTTGATCTCCCCTTTATTTTCTCCTTTTACTTCCAATTCATCTGTATTGCATTTGACTTTCTTTCCTTTTTTCTTTTTTCTTTCTTTTGGTTTTTCACTTTTTTCCATTTCTTGATTTTCTGATTTTTGGTCTTTTTGTTCATTGTTCTCAATATCATGTTGTCGAGTTTTGTGCTTTCTTTTTTTCTTTTTCTTAGGAGTTGGCCCGTCTTTTTCAGGAAAACGCTTCAAATTCAATGGATCTTTATAATCATGAGGACAGGAAACCTCAATGGGAGAATCCCCATGCATGGGGTGTGGCGACGCCTGAGGGGTATTTAACATAGGGTCCCGGTCTATTAAACTGTATAAGTTAAGAGGATCGTAGCTACTTCCACCAAGATGATACTTCAAACTCTTATCCTTTTTCATTTCACAGAGTTTCTTTTTAAGATTTGTATCTTTTTTATCCTTCTGGGAGAATTTATGAAACTCTTTCATATTTGCCTTGACTTTGGAAGAAATTCCGGTACTTTTTTGCCATTTTCGATTTCCCTGAGGACTGACCATTTTCTTCCTTAAAGGGTTTAAATGCTCTCTGCTCTGCTTATTATCCATGTTTAATGTCTTGTTTATCTGAATCCTTTGAACGTACTGCTCATGAAAATTTAATGAGATTCGCACGACTACCGCTGTAAAAGCACTCAAAACTGCACGTCAATGATGAAAGAAATGCCAAGTTATTCAAGTCAAATATACTCAATACAGCCCAGATAAGCGGTTAAACCTGAAATTGTCAACCTAAACTTCTAATACCTTGAGTAAAAGCTTCCAAAAAGCTCAACTTTCTCTTGAAATTCTGACCACCTTTCGATGTTGACTTTACGTTGCGGCCATTGGACCCGACTGCAGGCTCTCGTAAGCTCCTCTCAAAACCTCCAAAAGTGTCTTTCTCTCCCTCAATTAGGCAATATTACTTAATAAATCTGTAAAGGAGTGTTTCTTGTGTCTACTTTTAGAATATTAGCTGGTAAAATAGAGTATTATAAAGCTGTCTTGTTAGTTTTAGTCGGAGCTTCACTCTCTTCCACGTCCTCCAACGCCATACCAAATTATCTTGCCTTCATATGCAACGTGTTGTGAACGTCGAGCCAGACACTCACTGCGCATGCTCCGACCTCGACTTGACGTCACATCAAAACCTCCCATCCATTTCCCATTAAATATCTTTAATTTCTTTATTCAATTTACGTCATAATTCACTAAATCTTCCATAAAACATCATAATAACTAATTCTTAAGCTTCATGGCGTAAATAAAGTAATAAATTCAGTCTTAAATCAAATTTGCTTAAAAGTGAAATAATTTGTTTGCTGACCTTTAACATACAGAATGTATTACAAATTTTGTTAGATGGGATTTAGTAAATTGTATGGATATTAAATTAAATGAAAGAAAAGTTAATCATTGGATGGATGGATGGATGGACGAATAAATGTTCAAATAAAAGGTATTTTGAGGATTCGAGAAAATTACATCTCAAAGGAATATGAAGAATGTGTAAGAGTTTGGCAGGCATTCTTTAGGCAAAGGAGTTCCTTCGATTCTCCCCCCCCCCCCCCAAAATCCATTCCCCTCCCCTCCCTTATGAAAATTGTCCCTTAAAACTGTCAACAATATGGGTTTTTGAATATTTTTATTTAGGTATTTTCTCCAAACAACAGTTCAGGGTGAACCAGAGAAAGACTTGTCACACTGAAATAAAATGTTTCTTCTGTCCATGTGCTAGAAGAACCTGCCGAACCACTGGATACAGGCTTGCAACTACTGCTTGATTGACTAAAATATGAAGAAAATAAAAATGTTTACACCAGGTATTCACACCTCTTGAATTAACAGCCCTGACATTAGATATTTTCAGGGACAGATTCAGCTGAAGAGAAAGGCTACAATCCCCCTTTGCACCCCACCACCCCTGATTTATTGAAAGAAACATTGATCACTCATCAACTTTACAAAAATGATAAAAAAATAGTACTTGATGTAATGATATATTGTGAAAGACTTGAACCCACACATATATATATACCTTATATTAGTTGGATTATTAAAGGTTACCACAATATCTGTTGAATACTGGGGGAGTCGAAATAATGCTAGAGATATCTCCACAACATTTTTGGCTTCATTCTGAAAAGAAAATGTTACACTTAATTTTTACACAACATTTACTTTAAGGTACAAGAGATAGGCGTGAAGCAATAATGGCTCTTGCATAGCAGCACTGAGGTTGAAACAGTAATTCTAGCAGTAATATTTTAAAGTGAGAATTTTCATCACTCTCGTCAAAATAAAAAGGTTTGACCCTCCACAAAAATTCAAATTTCTGCTGATGCCCTTCCCCTCTGAAACCCCGTCCCTTCTACCTCCTTTATTGAAAGATAGCTTCTCCCTAACTGCTACAAATCCAAACAGAGTACTTAGAAAAATGAAAAACATGATGGGGTAGTCCAATCCACCATTTAAGGCACACATACTTACCCCTTCCTTAAATTTTGAAACTAACTGCCTTCCTCTAAGAAGCCAAGCATCAGAACACCTGAAAAACAAATCGCTTGGTTAATATGTCATTTCAAAAGGCAGACAGAGTAATCAAGCAAAGAAAAGAGGATTCCTTTCTACTCCCTATATTTTGTATAATTCTCTTTATGTAGCCATGTTCCACATTATAAACCTGTCATACTGTAAACAAAGCTGTTGCTTATAGAAGATCTAGAGGCTAAAATCCAAGTTCCAGCATAATGCAACTATCTCTTGACTTAATATCAAAGTGTTAATTGTCCTACTGTTTCATTGACAGTTTCTCCATTGGAATTGGTTCAATCTTGACAACCTAAAAATAAATGAGACAGAAAATAGTAAAATAATGTACAAATGAATTGTCAAAATAATCCAAAAACGATTCAAAATTGTAAACGTTTTTGGATATATAAGGATATTATGAGAACATGATAATCTTCCACATTTACCTCGTAAGTGTCCGAGGATTCATTGCTGTTTGCTATGTCATCAAAGTGGTATCTTGATAAAGATAAAAAAGGAATTAAAATGTACACTAAACAATCATGTGACGAATGATCCAAGGTGATTTTTAGGGAGGGGGCAGCTGTTACCTGGAAAACCATAATTATTATATGTATATCATGCATCCTCTTTGACGTCATGGCTCATGGTATTACATATGGTCAGCTAGGTGTTCTTACATAATTAGATGTATATTTTGTATTCATGAAAGATTCGAGAAATGTACTTAAGAGTTTAAGCTATAGCAAATATATCACATTCTTTGATATTAAAAATATGGAAATATGAATAAAATAATGTACCTTACGGCATTTTCTCCCTGTACGTGGTTTTGGTACTCTAGTATATCTATCATGATGCTTTGATCAGTGGCTGAATGGCAAAATACTTCTTGGTTATCTGGGATTTCTCTCATTTCACTATATGCGTTGAACCAAAATACATTTCACTAACGTTGAACCAAAATATTCCAAGTATTGTAATTAGAAGTTTAAAAATTGATAGTCTTGGCCTCTCCCCTTCAATCCCTTTTCCCCGGCCCCCTTGTGTGAGAAAATAAGATAATAGACTAATAAAGCATGAACTCTGTCATCAAAAACATACAGGGCTGCACTTTCGCCTGTATTCCTGTTTTTTTTCATGCACAATCATTAAACAAAGAAATGATACTCTAGGAAATGACAAGTGCTCTGAAATGGAGGGTCTATAGTTTTTACCTGACATCCTTTGCTTCAGCAGGGATAACTGCTTTTATAACACCACCAAATAAATCCCGAACTAAAGGCGCCATTCCTGTCTCCATTGCAAGTACTAAAACGACATAACAGGAATAAGCAGTCTTTATATGGATGAAAACTCCGTAAAATTGACAGGTTGTGCTCTGTTGTATGTAACGATGGACTTCCTGTGTCTTTACGCAGCAGTATCGATTCAAACGACAAATTATCGATTGATAATTACATTGCGCCCGCGATCCTCGTGATAAACAAAGATCATTCTATATTCCCAGCTTCCACTAAATTCCGACGTTAATCCAAGGTATTTTCTTTCATTTCTCTGCGATCGCTTGGTTTTTCAAATTTTTCTTGTAGTCTCATATCCTAAATAGGAAAGAGTCTTGAAAAATCTATGTCTGAGTCTGCACATCGAGATCAAAATATTGGTAGGTTATTTTTGTAAACGTGTCCGTCCTATAGTATTTCCCAACAAGTTCAGCTTCTAAACTATTGTTTGTCCAGTTAGATTTAGATCTAGAGGCAAGTATTACAATTTTCCCGTGGTTTTATGTGATAATTATGCAAGCCTGAACGGTTTATTTATGACAAATCTCGATAACAATTTTTGTTTTATTTGTTAATTAGATTTTTTTCTCTAAATATGATTATATATTTAAGAAAAGGTTTTGAAATGTGTTTGAAAACGCATTGTTTTGAACTTGAGCTCATTTGCAATTGAATAGTACGTTTTAAGTCCTGGAGGCTATTTATAGTCTGAACATTAGAAACGGCTTCTTGAAACTATGGTAACTCACTACCTCTTACAAAATAGTCAAATTATGTAGAGATTTTTAAATTAATATTTTTGTCTTTTAAAAAGAACTTTTGCTGTATTCGTAATGTCATATCCGAAACCTTTAAGAAGATACTGAATTGATTAGTTTATCAGAGTGATATACACGTATCAAAATGTGTTGTCGTTTTTTTATCCTCCAACAGATAATCACCATCCCCTTCCCCCTTTTCCCAGGAGAATATAAAAGGCAAACACAAAATGTGTGTAAAATTACCACATACTTAGCACTGTTGAAAGAATAGACAAGCAATAGACTGAAGAAGGCAGTGTGGAAGAGGTATCTAGGGGGGAAGAGAGGGGTTAAGTCATACCCCTGTGTATCAAGCTTGCCTAAAAGAATTCCTGATTTCCTCCATGGTGGGGTGGAGTAGGGATATTTTCTGGAAACAGGCATTGTTGGTTGGTAATGACTCATGAGATTCAATCAGCTGACTGATACAAAGCAATAGAGGTTTCATACCATCACTTGACAGCAGCCATGGTAGATGACAGAAACAATAAAATTGCAATAAATTAGAAAAAATTCAATTCCCAAGAGCAAAGGGATTTTATTGTTCTGCCATCTAACCACAGGCAGCCCAATATATTATGAGCACCAGCATGTGATAGTCTATATACCACAGCATACTCTCAGGTTGACAGCACATGATGCACAGGGTTTGCCTGATACCAAACAATTAACATTTTCGCTACAGTTTCAATGAGAATGAAACTCATAATTAATATTGATATAATTCAATATTTAATATATATTTTTTCTTTTTTATTACAGACTTTTATTACAGCTCATATCCATCTGAAAAAAATACATCAGAACATGTTTTACAGCTGAATCATCTCACTTGAATGTTTGAACAAGATACACATTAATTCAAAAATATTGAATTTTTTGCTGAGTATTTATAAAAAAATTTATAAAGAAATGAAATGAAAACTTTCGGAAGCTTTAGTATGATAATTTGAAAATATTCCTTACAACTATGGCACCGATAAATCCACTGGCAAAGCAAAACATCAAAGACTTAGAATCACAAGTAACGACAACTACACCACTACATAAGCACATTGAATTTGATAAATCAGATACTTTTATACGTCAAGCAGTAATGATGACTCTCTGGTACATCTTTAGTTTTGGAACGATGTATACTAATAAGTATATATTGACTGATTTGGATGGTGATGCTGGGGTGCTGGGAGAGTCACAGATGTTTTTTTCTGCTGTTTTTGGAGCTTTCAAAATGTATCTTCCCTGTTGTTTCTTTGAAAGAAGTCATCATGAAGCTCCTCGGTTTCATTTTTTTAGAAATATGGCAATCCTAGGATGGATGAGGTGAGTTGAGAGGACAGACATATTCCCTCTCATTCATTTATCCCTTTATTTATGATCGTTATTTAGCCCTTCCATCAATATCTTATTTTCCATTTATTCTTCCATTCATTTTTTCTTCCATTCTTTCTTCCATGCATCCGTTTACTATTGCATTTTTCATCCTTTTATTCCAGGTTTGCTTCTGTAGTATGCTCTCTCATAAGTCTAAAGTATGTAGCTGTATCCTTCTCTGAAACCATCAAATCATCAGCACCGGTTTTCACTGCAATCTTTTCCTGGCTCATGTTAGGTAAGAGTTCAATCAGAGTTTGATCTGTGAGTTTGGCATGCATACCCTGAGTTGGATCAGCCCTGAAGTGGTTTCAGGGCTCAATCATCTACTATATGCAAATGAATTGATTTTAATGTTTTGCGTTATTCTTAGGTGAAAAGCAAAGCATGTATGTCAATATGTCTCTTATTCCAATCATGGCTGGCCTGGCACTGTGTACAGCAAATGAACTTAGTTTTACTATGATAGGGTTTGCTTCAGCTGTAATGAACAACATTATGGACTGGTAAGAAATGTTAACAAGGTGTCTTTTAACTTCATAAGTGAGAAAAATGGAATAATTAATTTATAGCAATGTGTATTGTTCTAGAAATTATCCATACCCCCTCACGGATGAATTTTTGCTTTAAGAATCCCCCCCTACCCCTCAGAAATTCCAATTTTCTTTTATACAAACTCTGTAATTTTCGTTTCTTTCTCTGACCCCCCTACCCTTCAAAAATTTCAAGGAAATTCTTCTGTGGTGTGGGTATGGATAATTTCTGGAACAATACAATAGTACTTGTCTGTTAGTAGTGTTATTGCATAATGCCTACAAGGTTTTGCAACCCAATTGACAAGGCAGCTGATAGATTGAATTAGAATTTAGAAATTGATTTTTGTGGAGGGATAAAAACTGAAGAACATAGAGAAAAAACCCTCAAAATACAGGAGAGAACCAACATACAACTCTATTACCATGGCCATATGACACCCAGACCGGCAGGACTCGAATGCAGGTCACATGGGTCAGAGGTGGCAAATTAACAGTGAGTTAGTTCATCTAGGATATTGCACTGTACACATACTCTCAGTCTAGATCTCTTTGTAATACTTTTAATGTACTTTGGTGCAAAAGTTAGCTATGAAATACATAAACGTTTATTTAATCAGTAATTTCTTTCTTGTTTTACAGTTTACAAAATGTTTTTTCTAAAAAGCTTCTTTCTAATGATCAGGCTTACAGGTCAGTGATCAAACAGCTGCATCACACAAGGGCGGATCCAGCCAAAATTTTAGGGGGGGGGACTAATTGAGTTTCATCCGTCAACATAACAGAAAACAATAAAAAAGCATCTAATTCTTGAGTTTTGTTGTTTTTTTCTGCTGAAGGGGGACTTCAGCCCCCCCCCCCCCSCCCCCCCCCCCCCCCCCCCCCCCCCCTGGATCTGCCCTTGTCACATTCTGGGTTCCAGAGGCTTTGCTCCAGCAGGAAATGAACAAACCACCTCCAATCCTGGACAAAAGTCATTGGGACACTTGAAAAGTCTAAATTTTTAAATATTGTCTTAATATCCATAATTTCTCAATGTTTACATTCCATTTCACCAGTGAAGCTCCCCCCTCCCCCAACTCAATGTTGGTCAAACCACACATCATCCCAAATGCCCCATTTGATTTGCGGGAGGGGGGAGGAGAAAAGAACAATTTCATGTAATTTTATGTTGGTGTCCCAATGCTTTTGTCCAGGATAGCAAGGTCTATTTAAGTTGTAATAATGGACTGGCCATGTGATCATTCAGTTTCTGCTTGAAATATTAATATTCATTGTTTGATCTCTTCTACAGCCCTCCTGAATTACAATTCTATACAAGTGCAGCATCAATATTTGTACAGTTACCTTTGTGGTTTTTCTACATGGTTAGTTCTAGTATATGGAGAGACCATCTTTAAACCTCTCTTCTCCTTAGCTCTCATTCTTTGTCATTTCGTTTTCTTCTTCTGCACTCTCGCTGTATTCATCTCGTTCATATTATTTACTTTTTTGTTTTTCAGGATGTCCAAGTTAAAATCAAATCCATGGATTACTTCCTTATTTCTTTGCTACTGTTAAATGCATTTTTTTTCTATGTACAAAGTCTCACAGCTTATGGATTAATGTCACTTATATCACCGGTTACTTTTAGGTAAGTTGTAGCATATAAGTTGTGTTCTTTATAGTTCAAGCATAAATTCCCTAATGCATTCCAGAAAACTTGTTGCACACAGACTCCATTCATTTGCTTTCTTGGGGGAAAGTAGAGGTGCTTTCTTGGGGGAAAGTAGAGGACCGAGGTTTTCTACCTGTGCAGACAATGATCCTATAGGTCGTAATGCAATACTTGTGAACGTGTTAACAGGATTTCCTCAAATATGTAAATATGTGGGATAGTGCATATTTGAGAATGTGAAGTAGATGTTTACATCCATTCCACTCATCCATTCATATGGTCATCCATCCATCAACACACACACACATCCATCCACCCATCCATCTATCCCTCCACCCATCCCTCCCTTCCTCCCTCCATCCTTCCAATTATCAACCCATTCCTCCATCCATCCATCTATCCCTCCCTCCATTCCTCCATCCCTCCCTCCCTTCATCCAATTATCCACCCATCTCTACCTCCAATCATTTAGTCATTCATTGTTTGTTTTCAGTGTATCCAATACAGCTAAGCGTGCTCTTCTTATATGGATATCAGTACTTGTATTTGGCAATCAACTGACTCCTTTGAGTGCACTAGGGACAATTGTTGTCTCATCAGGTGTTTTCTTGTACCAGCGATTCAAAAACAAACAGCGTCAATGGGAAGCCGAACAAGCACTGAAGGGAACACAACACGACCTTTGACCAAATCCACACTAAACCACAGCGACCCCACTTTAACTAACAATACATTAATAGGAATTAAATTTATCACGATAATGTGGGGTCCCTGTGGTTTGTGCATTTTTCATAACATTAAAGATATTTTTAAAATGTTAGAGTGAAGGTACATAACCCGTGAAATAAAAATTATTATTACATAATTACCAATGAAATATCTATTTTTCTCTATTTTGAAAAATTGATATCTTCACACGTGAAAATAACATGTTATTTTCACGTGTGAAAATTGAAAATTAGACAAGAGGTAGACTTACCTTGAAGGATAATTGTAATTCTATGAGCCATATGGAACATTATGACCTTATTATGCGTACTTTCTTGCGCATGCGCAAAGCCCACATTCCAAAGAAAACCATTGTTATGCAAATAGCAAACAGGTATATAATGTGAA